TTCTGAGTATTGTAAATCGATCATTGTGATTTCTTAATGTCACACTTTCAACACCAATATTTCATTTCTGATATTAACAGCTGTTATAATTCAAAATTTTTGTTTTATCTTGCGCCAACTGATAATCCATTCTTAATCAATTTACTTTTGGATATGCTTTATGATTTGCACATATACACTGTTTCACAATGTTCATGCACGGAAGAAATACTCTAAAATATGTATGAAACCAATGAAGTTATAATATTGTGACGTTTTTTTTTATGCACTGCACTTAGTTTGTTACATTATTTTATTTGTACAGGGGTCGATGATTTGAATGAATATGGATGGATGAATAATGATGACCTTACTTGATGAAGTATCGAAAAACACTTTATTAGCCGGTATTAATCAGGACAGCTCCAAAACCTTGTTTACAGTCGTCGAACTGTTATATACACGCTGGCATGATCAGCGACACAGCTTTCACACTATCAGGCTATCACGGTGGAGACAGCTTCACTGCAAAGCACCAGAGTACAACTCCCGACTCTGCTCGGTCGTTCTGGGAACTCCACGTACTCTCGAGACTCTCCACGCTACAACTCGCGATGCACTCAACGACACGCAGAGCACAGCTCCTGACTCTTCGGTTCAGTCGTTAACGGAGCTCAACGCGCTCTCTCGACGATGCACTAACCGTGATACACTACGAGACTCTTTCGGTGCACTCGACGATCCACCGATCCCCTCCGCACTCGCTGCCCGGCTGTCAACTCGCTCGAGACTCATTATCTCGCCCTCTAGACGAGGCACACACACACTAACTGACTGCAGACCAGCAGGGTTTATATAGCTTTCGGCTTGTGTTCGAGAACATTCTGGGCTAAACCGGTAAGAATTCGTTCCAGAAGGTTCTCCATCCGTCCATGGCATATCGCCAATTTTGTCGCCAAATGGACGATTTCTCGCCAAATGTGGCAACCCTGCCTCCTTTGCCATTTTATGGCAACCCTAAACTGCTTTGCGAGGAAGCTATCTTACCGCATCTGTACATTTCGTAACAATATTTATTATACCAAGAGAGCTTAACACAAGAAACTTTAAACTGCGTTCTCGTGTTTTAGTTGAACAGTGGTTAGTTACCATACGGAATAAAAATGCTTTTATCTCTAGCGCGAGAGACAGATTCGTTTGGGGAAATTCTAACGATATGCTGTTGTTAAATATTTTATGATTTTTCGCCTTAATTATCTTTTACGTGAAGCAAGTGCGAAGAAATGTTGTTTAATAAATGAACATGTTGTTTAATAAGTTAACACAGCTGTTAATAATAAAAATATTTTAAAAAATTGTAAGCCATCTTACTAAGAAAACTGAACCTTGATATTATGAACTGAAGAAAGACTGAAAAAAGCGGAAAAAAATATATGGCTACATTTAACATTGCACTGGAAATTCTAAATACGCCATGCACAGTTCAACGGAAAAATTACAAAAATTTCAAAAACAGCATAGCAGTATATGTTCAGAATTCCAGATGCAACGCTAAGTGTTTAACATTTTTCTTTTTCTTTTTTCTTTTTTTTTTTTTTTCAGTCTTCTTTGAATTTATTACATCAATGTTCAGGCTTCAGTTTTTCTTAGTAAGATGCCTTACAAAACACTTTTTTGGCATTATATTACTAATGTTTCATATGTTAAATTTATTTATTAAATACCATGTTCTTCGCATTTACGTAACATAAAATTCGATTCAACAACAAAATAACCAAATATTTAAAAACAGGATATCTTTAGAATTTCCGATAAACAGTCTCGCGCGCTGGAGATAAAAAATGTTTTTCTTCGTATGGTATTACCATTGCTGGCTTTGAAATCATTGATTTTGTTAATCAAAAATTGGTTAAAGTTTTACAAAATATGACATAGATAATAAAACACATTCCAAGTTCAAAGTTCGTGCTCCCAGGTACGCATGTTCGGGTGGAGTATTACGCTATTCAAAATCTGATGGTTCTAGGTACTATCTTTTCTTAACAGTGTTAGAAACATACATACATTCATGCAGATTCTTCATTATTTAATTTCTTAACAACAAAGTTTTAACAAAATAAAACAAAGTTTTGTTTTTATCTAGTATAAATAAAAAAAAGGTCTTTTGCCAGAAGTGACCTAACAGATTTCGTCCCTTTTTCTGTTTCTGTAAAGATTTTTTTACAGAAAAAAATAATTGTAAAACTTACATTTATAAATTAGGATGCAGTCACTGCTAAAATGGATAAATTGCTAATAACCATCTTCTTGCAAGCGGGTTTCGTAGGCTGATAAATCGTAAAAAGTTAATGTTCGTTGAAATATAATGTTAAAAATATAAAATGGTCAGCAATAATTCACCATTTTATTTCTTTTTTCCCTTCTGTTGCAGAAAAAGTTATATTCAATTAACAATTTTAATTTTGTTATTTAGGCCAAAGGCACAATTTATTTAGAAGGGTTATTAATTTCGTTTTGGTATTTTGCGTTGGTTCACTATAAATGTCGGTTCACTTTTCAAACTGTTGCCACCAAATATTAGAGCAGTGCATTATATTTAAAGAAATTAAATAATGAAGAATCTGCATAAACGTATGTATGTTTCACGCAATGTAATAAAACAACGATTCCTAGAGCCATCAAATTTTGATTAATGTACGTTTTCACTCGAATATGGGCATCCGGAAGCCTAAATTTGGAATTTGTTTTATTATCTATTTCAGATTTTGTAAAACTTTAAGGAATTTTTGATTTACAAACTCAACGATTTCAAAGCGAGCAATGGCAACACTGTACGAAAAAAAAAAAAAAAAAAAAACATTTCTGTCTGCATCACGCGAGGCTGTGTATCGGAAATTCTAGGGATATGCTCTTTTTAAAGATTTTGTGATATTGCTGTTGTATTGAATTTTATGGTTTAAGTCCAAAGAACACGATATTAAAAAATAATAAAATGAGCAATTTAATATATACGCAATTATTTTTTAATTATACAAATTATTCAACAAATTAAATTAAAAACTTTAAATAAATAAACAATAAGCTTCATTTTATATAACTGTGAAAAGGAAATTAAAAAAAATAAGCTTTATCCAGTATCCTGAGTTCCCTGTATCATAGCTAGAAGTTCTACCGTAACTACTATTATAGAACCTACTATTAACTGGAGCCCCATATGGTGCTACTTGCATAATTTATTTCCGTACTTATGTATCAACCCACCGACCGGTCAAGTAGCGCAATTTAGGGTCAATTAGAAATGATCGTGTCCTTTAGAATTCCGCAACAGCGATTGGCGACCGTTGCCGAAATTCCCGCCTTTATTTCTATTCAAGTTCGTTAAACTAACCACATTATTTTTACTTCCTTGTACGAAGTAAAAAGGAAATATTGTAATCGCGAAAAGTTTCAGGCATCATATTTCAACGAAAATATCCAAAAAATTGACCGCTATCGAATGCAATTTAACGATGTTTTTGCGTGGTACCTGTACGTAAGAACAGAATAAAATACTCTTTTCCTCCAAAAAAATTATAAAACTGCTTTAAAATGAATTCTGAAGAGAATTTTTCGTGGCGTCTGTACGAACGTATGAAAGTACGTATCTCGCATAACTCAAAAACGAGTAGCCTCTGAGCGTTGAAATTTTGTATATAGGACTGCTATAACATGTAGATGTGCACCTCGTATTTTTGTTGCAATCGGCCGCACCAAATGTACCTGGCTCAGTGATCTCAGTTTTTTTACTCTTATATGTTTGTAAATAGTAATTTTTTTGCTTTAAAACTGATTAATTATGTTGTTATTTTCTTCCGGTTAAGCTTATTATCCTTTTAGTAAATCTGTATGCAATATTTTTAGAATTATCAACAATTTTAAAGTTGTTTAAATGCCGCTAAGCCTAATATTTTTTTTTATGGCGGCCATTGCTTGTTTACATTTGAAACAGCAGGATAGTGGATTTGTTGCCAATCTAGAGAAACTTAGCTTCGCAAGAACAAAGGTAACGCCTTCATTTATTATTTAAATCATGCTTAATCCTTTCTGGAATTTTTTCGAGGAAATAAGCGTTTAAGATTTACTTCGTAATTTTTAATACAGATATTTTGAGTTTTTATGTATTTTTGCCTTGTCGCAAAGTGAGAACTGAATTAATTGAATGAGAAATACTCAATCGTCTGTGTAAAAACTGTTTCTTTTTGTGTTTGTTTGCTTAATTTCTTTTATACATCGTCCTAGCTTTGTTATAGTATTTGAATAGAACATGTGGCAACGATTAGATAATTCTTTAAATGATATAAGTTTTTTGCATCCTGAGTTATAATATGAACGAAATATATAATACTGTTAAGTGAACCTAGCGCCAGAGTGTCGCTATGGTAAACAAATAGAGTGAATTTTAAAGAATGCATTTATTCTATTGTGGTTTATGCGCCGTCGGCGAAGTAGATTTAATTCAATCCAATAAGTTTAAATGAAATGCAAGAAACAATGCGTATAATTTAATATTCTGTACAAGGAAGTCATGTGGTGTACACATCAGATTTTTTCATTTAGGACAATACTTCGACGGTTGCCTTTGTGTGTAATTAATTTTGTGGCTGCAATAGAACAGCATTTCTGAACTCATAAATGAAATTCTAGATTCCGGCTGCTCACGAAAGCCCACGAAATTCATCATGGCAATTCGAGCAAGATTGCCTGTCATTGCAAAGAACCTTAAGCACCATACAGGTGATAGTACTGATTTCGGCCGCAATTCTTTCCCTGCCAGCAACCTCTCGAGAGGACTCTCGGCTCATATCCATGCCTTCTTCGGGATTCGAACCCGGGGCTTCGGTATCGCAGTAGGCTTCCCTAACCAGTACACCCTCTGGGCGGCCTCTCAAATTGGTTTTTCACTGAAGCGAAACATTTAGTAATTCAAAGCAGCCTGATTAGAAATGTTTACAGTTCATTTGGTTAATGCCTAGAGGCGGCAATTAGGAAAATAATATTTCAGAAAATGTTACCTGACAAGCGTCTCTTCCTCCATACTCATAGCCTGCGCACATCATTTCATCATGAATCCGGATATTGATACCTTGCTTCCTGTGCCATGTTTCACATACTTTGTTGTTGATGACAGGAACAGCCACGTATTGTAAAACTTTTGGACGCAACTTAGAGCCTATTGAGAAATTAAAATATTGGTTTATATTTAGAATGCGAACAGATAGTAATAAAGTAATAAATTTACTAGCAGCATAAGTACTGAGATTTTTTTCCTAGTTGTACATCTTACTGTTTTTTTACTGAAAGCAGATAAAATATTTTTTGAACATTTCTCGGGAATAATACCCTAAATTGTATTAAACACTTTCGTACCTTTCTGTTAACGACGCGCCAGTCGCCAAGCGGGCGCCGAAGCGCCAGTATGATAACCAGTTTATATTGCGTCATCAATATCTGTGCAGTGTTTACTGTTACGCAATGGCCTAGGGTCAGCGCCAACTAAATTTATGCAATTCTCTAATTTTTTTAAAGCGAAAGCAGATCGCTGTGTACATATATGCGGATTTGCGCACATTAAATATTATAAGTACAGTAAGACCCCGCTTAACGCGGGGGATACGCTCCATCAAAGTAGAGCGTAATGCGAAACAGCGCTAAACGAGGCTATCTTAACATGTAAATAATGGGGTTAGGGGAAGATGGATAGAAAATTGGTTAGATATTAAATTTAATAATGTTTTTTTAATAAAAATAAAACCAAATATTTAATTCTTACAAAAATAAAAACAATATAATCGGATATGCTTATAAAAACAAATAAAATTCTCAGTCAGATCATTCAGTCTGTTCTGTGTTTTCAATTTTCTGCCTTTTTGTCAAGAAGACATCTAATGTAGTTTGCGTTTTTCTTTTACATTCTGTTAGAAGTTGTTTATAAGATAAAGCATCTATAACACCCCGTCTTGCTTTCGAACTCCTGTCAAAATTTGGATCATTTTTAACAAATTAGTTCACAATTTCAGTTATAGTGGTCAAACTCCTTTTTACAAACGCCATCGAAAGTTCTTTTTGCTCTTCTTCGAAATCACTATTGTCAATATTTTTGTTTTCTTCTTGCTCAGTTAATTCCTTGAGCTCATCATTAGAAAGACTAGCTGCTGTTTCTTGAACTATTTCTTCGATCTCTTCCACATTTACCTCATCTAAGCCGATTTGTTTCGCTAATTCCACTATTTCTCTCATTATTTCATCCATATCGAGAGTTTCCAATGTTTTCGGTCTTACTTAAATCTGGCCAAATGTTCTTCCACACTACTTTCAAAGATCTTTCTCTTATCTCATTCCAAGAAAGATTTATGTTTTCTACAGCTTTCATGATATTGTAGTTTTTCCTAAAATTCTCTTATTTGATTGCTTTTCCCGTTCTCCTGTCTGCTTTTTCAAACATCTGCTTAAATGTTCGCCGCAAGTAATAAGCCTTAAAATTGGATATAACGCCTTGGTCCATTGGTTGGATTTAAGGCAGTTATGTTAGGCGGCAAGAAAACCACTTCGACTGGAATGCATGTTGTTAAGTCTGATAAATTTGTTGGGTGGCTTGGAGCATTATCAATTAATAGTAGTGCTCCTTGTTCAAGTTTTTACTTCCTTGTACGATGTAAAAAGGAAGTATTATTGTAATTGCGAAAAGTTTCAGGCAGCATATTTCAACGAAAATATACATTTTGACCACTATCGAATGCAATTTAACGATGTTTTTGCGTGATATCTGTACGTAAGGACAGAATAAAATACTCTTTTCCTTCAAAATATTATAAAATTGCTTTAAAATTAATTCTGAAGAGAATTTTTCGTGGCGTCTGTGCGAACGTATGTACGTACGTACGTACGTTCGTGCGTACGTACGTATCTCCCATAACTCAAAAACGAGTAGCCTCAGAACGTTGAAATTTTGTATATAGGACTGCTATAACATGTAGATGTGCACCTCGTATTTTTGTTGCAATCGGCCGCACCAAATGTATATAAATATATTTATATATATATCCACTCTATTACCCGGCTCAGTAACCTCAGTTTCTTTACTCTTATATGTTTGTAAATTGTACATTTTTTTCTTTAAAAATGCTTGAATTATATTGTTTTTATCTTCCGGTTAAGGATTTTATGCCTTTAGTAAATCTGTGTGCAATATTTTTAGAATTATCAGCAAAGTTGTTTAATTGCCGCTAAGCCTGTTTTAATGGCGGCTGTTGATGTTTACATTTGAAACAGGAGACTAGTGGATTTGTTGCCAATCTAGAGAAACTTAGCTTCGCAAAAACAAAGATAACGCATTCATTTATTATTGCCAATTAAATCATGCTTAATTCTTTCTGGATATTTTTCGAGGAAATAAGCGTTTGAAATTTACTTCGTAATTAATATAGATATTTTGAGTTTTTATGTATTTTTGCCTTCTGGCGAAGTGAGAACGGAATTAATTAAATGAGAAATACTCAATCGTCTGTGCAAAACTGTTTCCTTTTTTTGTTTTGTTTGCTTAATTTCTTTTATACATAGTTCTAGCTTTATTATAGTATTTGAATAGAACATGTGGCACACGATTAGATAATTCTTTAAATGATATACATTTTGTGCATTCTGAGTTATACTATGAATGAATATAATACTGTTAAGTAAACCTAGCGCCAGAGTGTCGCTATGGTAAACAAAGTGATTTTAAAGAATGCATTTATCTATGGTGGTTTATGCGCTGTCGGCGAAGTAGGTTTAATTCAATCTAATAAGTTTAAATAAAGTGCAAGAAAAAATGCGTATAATTTAATATTCCGTAAAAGGAAGTCATGTGGTGTACAGATCAGATTTTTTAATTTTGCAATAACGTTTAACAGACGGGCGGAAATGTTCAGCGAACCAATCCTGGAAAATTTTTAAATCATGCTTAATTCTTTCTGGAATTTTTTCGAGGAAATAAGCGTTTGAAATTTACTTCGTAATTTTTAATATAGATATTTTGAGTTTTTATGTATTTTTGCCTTCTCGCGAAGTGAGAACTGAATTAATTAAATGAGAAATACTAAACCGTCTGTGAAAAACTGTTTCTTTTTTGTTTTATTTACTTAATTTCTTTTATACATAGTTCTAATTTTTTATAGTTTTTGAATAGAACATGTGGCAACGATTAGATAATTCTTTAAATGATATAGTTATCCATAATTTTTATTAGACTCCCAAATTACAGGTAAAGTTGATTTAGATATGCCTTTCATCGCTCTTGGGTTTTTGGAGTGGTTTTAATTTGAAATCTTCGCTTGCGTCACCACCCAGTAGAAGTGTTAAGCGATCTTTTGCAGCTTTAAAAGCTCCAGTGAAAGATTATTTCACAACATAAAGATTACAGGTTTGAAAGATCTTTCGATGTTTAAATTTATTAAACCATCCTCGACTAGCAACGAAAAGTTTCACTTGTATCATTTGCCTCAAGCCTGAATGTAATTAAAAATTCTTCTTACTTTTTCCATTATAATAGATTGGCTTCATGGCATATTGCGTCGTCAATCCATACAGAAAGTCGTTTTTCCATTTCCTTTATTGTATTATTTCTAGAACAGGTCATTCTAGATGAAGAGCATGCCGTACTTGCAGTTGCCGATGACAGTACTTTTTCTTTATTCCTAAGAATATTCCTTATTGTTGAAGTTGCCAAATTCAATGCAGCACCAATTTCAGATTGACGTTCACCAGATCTAATCTTCTAATCACTTGCATTTGAGTTTCCAGTGAAATACTTTTTCTGGTTGCTTTCTTTTCTTGTTTTTTTTTTTTTTATTATCACCCATGATAAAAACTAAAGATCATAATATTTGTCACTGTAATAATCGTTATGGTATTATATAAATTTATACTTACAATCCTATAATGGAAGAGAAAATATTTATTTGATACGTGTTATCCTATAATGGAAGAGATCCATACTCTACATTTTCTTAGTTTTAAAAGCAAGTTATATCATATCAACAAATGTTTCAAATGATAAAAATGCGTCCGTACAGCACCGCACCGCACCGCACCGCACCAAACAAGAAACACAACCACACTGTTTCGGATATGTTATTTGGAAACCTAGCGCTGCGCACAATTTCGGGGAATCCGCGTAGTACTGCGAGCAATTTTGGGGAATCCCCGGGTTGAAATAAAAGAGCGCTAAACCGAAACAGCGCTAAACGAAACAGCGTTAAGCGGGGTCTTACTGTATTATATTTTACGATACATTACTGTTATTACGCATTCATGTTTTTCCCTAAAACGTTATGCATCGTTATAATTATCGCCATTTGCTTAGATTTTGTGCCAACTTTTATGTTTGGCTCTAAATGGCGCCCCGTTGACAGAAAAAATCTTAATTTACTGAAAATGTAACAGTTTTTGAAGAAACAGAATAAATTATCTGAATTTGCAGGTGCATGGGAGAAGCAAAAATAGAATCCATTTCTATATCATATTAAAAGGGGATATTTACTTTGAACCAAAAAAGGCTTTATCTTAGAAAGTCCTCTACGAAGTCATTCCTTCTTTAGGTAGATAACAGTTGTGTGCTTTGCATTATTCACAATTAGCCTAAGAGATATATGCCTTATATTTAGAAACATTTTACCACATTGAAACTGAAATGATGACGAAGAAATGTTTTCTAGCTGGAAGTATAAAGGTCGCATCCATATTCTTCCAAAGAAAATAATTATTTGATACGTGTTATCCTATAATGGAAGAGATCCATACTCTACATTTTCTTAGTTTTAAAAGCAAGTTATATCATATTAGGGATCAAATGCTATTACTGTTCTAACCTCCATAAATTTCTGACTGATCCTATAGTCAGAATATGATCGCTAAGTTTTGCGCTAACATTTTAACCACGGACCGTAAGATTAGTTTGGTTTGTTTTATTTGCTTATGGCAAAGCTTTCAAGGGCTATCTGCCTAAGAGGAGGGCTGACTTCATGGAGGACTTTCTAAAGGAAATTGACTCGTATACACGTTACACATGGGGAAAAACATGAAAACGTCCATACATCCAGCCCGTTCGCCGGGATTCGAACCCCTTATCGAACTACCAGTGTTCAGCGACTCGGCCACTTGTGATGCCCACGTACCGTAACAACCAGTTAAAAAATATCTGGCAAATCTTTCGTAAGAATGCTTTTGAGAAGAACATTTTAAGAGAAATTGTCTCATATTTACATTAAACATGAGAAGATAAGAAATTAATTCCTGCGTTATATAGGCGAATTATGACTTGGGAATGGCTCAGGCTTATAAAGAAACCTTTAATTACATCATACTATCTTCAGGTTAATTTAACTGCCACCGCTTACCTGGTTCTAATGCACCCCATCCAGCAGCGTATGCGGTCCTGCCCAGGAAATCGGCTCCTTTCCGAGGTATGCAAATAGGTCTGATATTTTCTCTGTAAGGGGCAGGACGGTCGAGCACCACAACGGCCACATCGAAGCGGTCAGCCTGAGGCGTGAATCGAAAGTTAGGATGAAGCCGCACCTCAGAGACTCCAAATACCTCAGCGGGAAGACTCTCCACATTGGAATGCAGGACATAATCGCCAAGTGTCACTCGGATATTTCCAGGTTTGTGTTGAGATCTGAAAATAACTAGATGCTGTACTAAATCAAAGAAGAATCCCTGAAATTGCACATACTTACTGAACTTCTTTACATAGGACCTTTCATAAAGGTAGCACGATTAAATATCTCTTGAACACTAAGACTATGATTCAACTTCATGAAATAAATAAAATAATGTGTGTGTTGTGTGTGTGATTATGGCAAAGCCTCGAGGCTATCTGCCTAAATGGAGGGATGCCTTCGTGGAGGACTTTCTAAGGGGAACTGACTCGTATACACGTTACACATGGGGGAAAACCACGAAAACACCCATGCAGCCAGCCCGTTCGCGGGATTCGAACCTCGGACCGAACTACCAGTGTTCAGCGTCTTTACCGCTCGGCCACTGGTGGGCTAATAAATAAAATAAAGTGGAAGATACCGCATATTATCCCGTCGACTGTTGGCGAATATTTCGGTAACGGTCTCCAATCGTCTGTCATTACTGCGGAATTCTAAAGCAGACAGTCGTTCGTAATTGGCGCTAAATCGCTCTCCTTGGCCGGTCGACGGGATAATACATAAGTACCAAGTGGAATTTCACTGTACTACGATTTTGGCCACGTGACAGAATTAAGTAAAAATATAGGAAACTTTATTTTTTATAGAGGCCTTCTATGAAGATGATTCCAATTAGTAAGCCTTTCTTTGCGCTAGTTTCATGAAACATTCAGTTTTGTGACATGAAAATTCGGTTTGAAAAAATTGTCAGTAACATGTGACTCAAAAGAGAAAAGCGATGATTTCAGGGATCGCATAAAGACAGAATTTTATTAAACATGAAATTTTGAATTTTATGGATTCTATAATTACTCATTTATAAACCAAGCTTACGTTTCTGAAGTGAAAGTCTATTTCAGAAAATTACGCTGGAAATCTTAACATGAAAAGCTACCCTTAGTAGTATTTGTATATGACCTACTAAAAATTTAAATTAATGAATAATTTTGATTATACAATGGTGGAATAGGTTTGTTTGATTTACTCCGATAAAGAAAATATTTTTTCATTTATGTTTTCTCCTACGAAGCCCTTAGAAGAACTTAGAAGATTTCGTATATTTTTACTAAAATGTGTCATAGGACTCTAAATGTAACACAATCTGATAACGTCCCTCATTTGTCTCATTTCTTAAACTAGTCGTTTAAAAGATATTAATTGTGCAAACCTTTTTAAACATTATGTGCAATATTGTTTGTTTTATGAGGAAATGCTTAAAAAACATATGGATCATGCAATGGCGTTTAATAATAAAATATGAATATACTTTTACAGTAACACATGGCACTCATGCGAATATGGGTATCTGGAAAAGTACACACTTTTCTGAAATGTTATATTTATATTTTTGAAATGCTATATTTATATTTCTGAAATGTTATATTTATATTTCTGAAATGTTATATTTATATTTCTGAAAATGTTATATTTCTTATAAATCAAGTACACATGATACGAAGGAATGTTAATTTCAAAATTTTTTTTTTAAAGAAATTATTGTACATTGTACTATCGTCCATATTTCATCATATTCGAATTTTTTTAAACAAAAGAGAATTTCCTAGAAAAAGGTCTTAACTTTTTCATACGCAATTAATAAAAATTTATTTCACTACAAGTTGAAGCAAATTTACACGCGCTTTTAATTCAATTCATAAAAAAACTAAAGCTCGGATTCAAGACTAATTTGAAACTATCATTATAATTTTATTTCTGTACCAACTGATCTCTGAAAGGCAACAGAAAACTATTTACGCTCCTCAAGCAAACTTTATATCACCAACATGGTTAAAGCATTATAGATAATAATAATTATTAGTCTAAAGGGACAATTTGCCCAGAAGGACTATTAATTTCGCTTTGGCATTTTGCGTTAGTTCACTATAAATGCCGGATCGCTTTTCAAATTGTTGCCACCAAATATTAGAGCACTGTATTATATTTAATGAAATTAAATAATGAAGAATCTGTATAAATGTATGTATGTTTCTCCTGTTATAAAACAACAATACCTAGAGCCATCAAATTTTGAATATTGAACGTTTCCACCCGAATATGGGTATCTGGAAGACCAAATTTAAAATTTGGTATTTGTTTTATTATCTGTTTCCTATTTCGTAAAACTTTAACGAATTTTTGATTAACAAACTCAACGATTTCAAAGCGAGCAATGGCAACACTGTACGAAAAAAACATTTTTATCTCCAGAGCGCGAGAATGTGTATCGGAAACTCTAAAGCTATGCTAAATTTTAAAATTATTTTGCGATATTGCTGTTGAACTGAATTTTATGGTTTAAGTGCGAAGAACATGATATTTAATAAATAAATTACCACGCAAGACGTTAAAGAAACGCCCCTTTGAGCGTAATGTAAAATCTGAAAGCTTTCAGATTTTTTATTAATGCTTATTCTAAATATGATATAATAAAAAAGTGAAGTTAGAGGTACATAACAAAATGAATTGTGTTAAATAGAATAATGCAAATTTATAGTTTTAAAAAATTCTTAGCAACACGAGATGGATGCATTAAAAAGTGTTCTATTATGTCATCAAAGAAGCTTAATGTTGCTTTACGTTTAAATGTGTATACATAAATACCATATAGATTACTATTTTTTGTATTCTGGTTTACTCATTTGTTAATCTCATTGCATCAAAGGAATATTTATTAATTACATATAGATGAACAACCTTTTTTAAATCCATATTCTATTTCACACAATTTAAAATTGTAAAATTTTATTGTTTTCAGATATTAAATACCGTATATTCCGACGTATAACCCGCATTTTTAATAGAAAAAATAAGATCGAAATTTACGGGTTCGCTTTATACGCCGGATATAAAAATGATAGATTAAAAATTTTAAAGTAATGAAAAAAATCAGTGAACAAAAGTTAAATTTTTACCTGTACCGAAATACTGTTAATTTTAAAAGAAATGACACATCTCATAAACTTAAAAATTTTCAATTGTTCATCAATCTTTATATCTTCAGGTTCATAATCGAATTCTGTTTTATCTTCACCATCGCTGTTACTCTGATTCATAAATAAATAATAATCAGCCTTTCCACCTGTCAATAACACCAAACATCCTTGATGTGCAGGATTTTCATTTTCTCTCGAAAACTGAGTGACTTTGCATTTGAAGCCAGAACTATATTGTTTCTTTTGGCCATATTTACTACTAAAAGCAACACTAAATCAACTGTATTTCAACCAATGTAGATTCAATTCACTTGAAAATCACATCTTTAAATGACTATAGAAAGAGAAAACACCTAACTCCTAATTTGGAAAATGTATTTCAAGTCAGAAGGGAATTCTTACCCCAAATTCTGTTCCGTTTTTGTCAGAACCATAGAATAACATTCTTGTGCACACCTATATTAAATACAACCCACCTTCGTTTCAGAATTATTGACTCCCTCAAGCCTTTCCCTCCACACTCGCACTGTTCCCCTTACCGCTTATTAATCCAGCATAAAATTGAGCGAACGCGTGGAAAAAATCTTCGAATGAATGACTTCAAAAGATAAGAGCATCGCGCATGCATCTTTTAGGTTTCTTCATAGAGAAAAGGGTGCGCGTTATATGACGAATGTACCTAAAAATTAATATATGTAGTATGAGATTATAGGTGAACGTTATACACCGGTGCGCGTTATACGACAAATGTACCTAAAAATTAATATATGTAGTATGAGATTATAGGTGAACGTTATACACCGGTGCGCGTTATACGACGAATGTATCTAAAAATTAATATATGTAGTATGAGATTATAGGTGAACGTTATACACCGGTGCGCGTTATACGCCGCAGTATACGGTACGTGAATATAAATTTATAAATTAAATTTCTTTCATTTAAGTCCCAGTCTGATTACCAATATTAATTGATTAAGAAAATTCAATGTTTATTTGGGCTATTCGAAACTAAAAAGAGGTTCATTGAATTTCATGGTAAAGCACAGAATATTTTTTCATGTTTAAAGTAAATCTTTCAAGAACAAAATATTATATATATATTTTAAAAGATAAAATTTTCAAGAATAATTTTGTACGTTGAAAAAAGAGTACTTTGCTGAAAAAAAGGCTTTTCTGTAATTTGAAATGCACTAAGCCTCATTGTATTTGAAACTAGATCAAACAAAGACTACTAACGTTTAAAATGTAGATTAGCTTGCTTTGATTGTATCACTGCTAAGAGCAATAACGTTATAAAAGAAAGCTAGTGGTTAGTAATGAGAGAGCACTTACATTTCGTATTGGAAATATACCATATGCTAGTCGTAAGGCAGGCAACTCATGCTACATTAAAGAAATTTAAGCGGAAACAAGAATACAGCATAAATTTACTGCTAGAAAACAGAGCACTTCTCAAACTGACTATTTATTCTGTATGCAACATATTAATCAATTAATTTATTTATTGTTAATAATTAATTCATTTGTTGATGAATTAGTTATTAATGAATTAATTCACTATTTTAATGATGAATTAATTATCATAAGTTAAGTCCAAATTTTGTGGGAATAAATGTGGGCTATCAAGTTCGATACTTACGGCATGTTTGAATGCATTACCTGGCAACACAATGTCCGGCTGTCACAACAAATCTTCTTCCCACCAGGGCACCTCCACATCGACTACCTCCCACCTGGATCACAGCCTAAAAAACCACAATTCAGTTCAAAACTTTTAAGATGGAACAATAAAATAAAATAGCAAACATTAAAACTAACCTCACAATTAAAAAAAAATAATAGTGACCTTGTTTTAGTAAAATCCTTACTTTTCAGCTAATTTTTCAAACTCAATATACGTTAAAGGAATGTATTAGTTTGGGAAAATAGATTTAGAAGCATAGGAAAATAAATTTTAAGAAACTCTTAAATCTTAAGGGGGAAAAAAAAATATCCAATAAATCGGAATTTTACTTTAATTTATTGGAAAGTAAGTTAGCATAATTTAAAATCGCCCTTGTTTTAAATGCTGGTAACTTGGGTTGGAGGGTTGTTGTAACAATGTAAGTTAAATCAAAAAAACATAAATAATTAAACAAAAAGTACTATAAATGAACATAAATGATTTCATAATAATAACAGTTCTAATTAATAATATTCAGGCTAAGACTAGAAAATTTTTAATGAACAGCTATTTTGTGGTAATCAATCTGGAACATTTTTTAATGCACAGATTAAATATTACACGATAACAGGTTCTTTTTGAAGTTTCTGTCTTTTGATAACAGATGGCAGCACCACATATCTGATTAAGCGACAAACAGCGGTTCTCTTGTAAACTACTCTAACTTCATACCCCTAATCAAAGAAATAAAAAAATTCGTGAACACGAATTTAGATCCTAACACCTGGAACAAGTTACTCTTAAAGATTCAAAATGCGAAAAAAATAGGAGAATTACAAGAAATTGCAGTCTAATCCTGGTATCTGGGTTTTAATTTGACAATACCGTATTCCTCATATGTTTACACTCATGAGGAATTGCAAGATAATTTTCTTCTTTCCCTCTGTTGAACTATTTCTATTTGGACATTAAATTTTAATCTTTTTTGGCAATGTAACTGGAATGCGGCTTTAAGTTGCATTGTAAATATTGTTCGTCTAATGTGTATTATCAGTCCTCTTATTTTGTTGAGCAAACTAGTATATCAATGCTTTTCTTGTAGAGCGCTTCGTGATAGCTGAAAAAGCATGAAAAAATGCATTTTGTACTTCGATGTCCCATACCAAGAGCTTTCAGTTGTAGGCCCTCTTTTTTGCCTGAAACATCTGAAAATTAAGAGGGCGATTATTTACGATTGTGCCAAGATTGGGGTAACGTAATCCAGACGCATTGTCGATTTTTTTAGATGTCAATTGCCTTACGTTTGTGTTGCGTATGTTGCGTTACGTATGTGGCGTTGCGTTTTTCTCAGAATGAACGATCTTCAAGAGAGCATCGCAGGTCGAGTGTCCTTAATCATCGTCTTCAAACTTTCCGGTGTTACCTTAAAGCAACTGACTTTCACTGTCGCATCTTTCGGTAAACAGTCGATGAGAATAGTCCATGAAGACCAACGAAGAATGTCAACAAAGTCCAAAGTCTTCCTACCACTGGCGTTAGATAGCAGCTTCTTAACTACTGATCTTGAAAGCTGATTAGTAAGCGGTGATGAAGGATTTTTTTATTGTTGGCTGGCTGTAAACTTTCAGCCGATAAGAATTGGATTACACATCATTGCGCACATTTGAGGGATGTCCATATATCAGCATTTCTTCATGTTTGAGTGTTGAACATCTGCTTGCGAATTAAATTAAATCGATCGCTAACCATGTATATGTAACAAGAGCAACAGGTTAGAATATCAATAAACGCAATCTTTTCCCCTTCTTTCTAAAGACAACTACACTCATCAAACAAATACCCCTTAACAATGATTTGCAGAAAAATGTGGGTAGACAGACGATGCAGGCAATGAATCACGGAGTACGTAGTGAACAGCAAAACGTATATGACATACGTATTTGTTTTCGATTTGATTTATTAGCGTCTGTTAAATATATTGCATTCTAAATGTTATACAATTACAATAAAACTCCAGTTATTCGGACTAACTGGAACCACAGTGCACTAGGAGGATGGGACACCCAAACCAGGCTAACTCGTGTGGCCACCTTACACAGTTAAATGCCCCAACTCCTAGAGGTGATCCAAGGAAGCATAAACCTCTGGTCAACCCAGGGGAACAATTTTTGTTTCACAAAGTCTCGGCTTATAGCACAAAGACTAGGTGGACGGCAACGTATTCAGGACAAAGAGAACAACGTTATAGTTTACCTAATGTCCCCCAAAGTTGACCACGGATAGCCAAACCTTCGAGAACAACCTTAAATCAGATCATGTAATGTCTCCAAAACCAAGGAGTAGTCAAGACAATATCATATGGTCTCTGCCTAGCCTGAACTTACGACCGAATAAACTGTATAGATACTGACTGACCTAGCCAGTATGCCTGAATTCCTCCTATTCGATCCCTCTCCCCCAAGAGATAACTAGAACACAATCAATCCGGATATTCGGAACATACAAATAAAGGAGTTATCTCTCTTCTGTTGGCAAAAGATATTTTTTCTGAAGTTCAGTAATTTTATTTTTCGTTTATTGTAACTTGTTTTTGAAATGAGTATTTAAATTTTTTTTTTATTTCGGTAAAATAAAATAGGAAATTGATTTTATTCAGCAAAAGTAAAAAATAAGTAGCTTTTAATGTGCTTGTACAGTTTTTTTACATTTCAACTGCATTAATTGAAATATTTTTTTATTTAAATAACCGCTTACAAACCATAACATAATTTTTCGGTTTTTACTACACCAAAGTTACAATTACTTATCTTTTTAAACGTTGAATATAATAAAACTTAAAATTTCTTTCATGGCAAAGAATTTGATGCAATTTAATTGTGTTGTTTCTTTTAATTTTAGAAAAACAACTATGTTAACTATGTTAGTTTAGGCAATGAATCACGGAGTACGTAGTGAACAGCAAAACGTATGTGACATACGTATTTGTTTTCGATTACAGTATTTTCAAAACATTGTAGGTCAATTTATATACTTTACACATTTCTCTAACTTAAATTAATAGCTCTTTAAAATATAAGATGTACTGTATTATCTTTTTATTTTATTTAAATTAGCATAAAGATTAAAAACATGTGACTAACTTCAAAATACATAGTTTACTTTATCTGGCAAGAACATATGCGGATAATTTAAGATGAGAATATCTGAAGTCTTGATAACTGGCACATTGTCAGGTATCTAAAATAAGAGACTTACCTGCCATGGAAATTGTCCAAAATAAGCATCATTGCCGCCTACAATACGACTTGTCCTGGTCGCACTTCTACCACAATCTTCAAACACAAGAAACATGAAATACAGTAAGAATTATTGAATTATAAAAATAAAAGAAAGGAGCATAACATGCAACAGACAGAAGAAATTAATTGGTTGTAAATAAAGAAAGGTAATAAAAATAATGTAAAGACAGAAATATTTGAATATCAGAACATTTGAACTTAAGCGCAGTCTTTTACGCTTTGTGAGCCATTAAGTTATATTAACGATATCATGCCATTTATAATCACAAGTGTAATCGATGCAGGAGATACAAGATCTTTAATTTATCTTTCTTGCGCTCTGGCGAAGAGCAGTTTCCCAGACAGTTGCCTTTAAGATTGCTGTAGGGTATTTAAATTATTTTTCAATTGCATTGAGAGCAATTTAAAAACAAAAATAACGATACGCGATTTAAAAGTACTACACGCACTTCTTAATTATTTAAATTTTTATTTTAGTTTGAATAATATGTCTACATGATTTACCTTAAAGCAAATTAATCGTTAGAAATGTATTTTATGCCCCTTGAAGAAAAAAAAAAAAGATCTAATCGATTTACACGTCAGGTATAAAATTTATTGAGGATTTCTATATAAACTTAGAAAGTTCTAGTTAATATACATGTCCTTGGCTACTAGAACTTTAATGAAGAGTCTAGCGATTATTCGCTAGTCTTTTTACAACTATAAAGATATATCTAAAGACGTTCACTCAAAGAAATAATAACAGTCGGCCTCTCTCAGGCTTACAGAAAAGCTTGCCTTAAGATAAAAAATAAGAAACTAAATTTTAACCGACTTAACCGAAGTGTACAGAAATAACTAACTGGGTTGGCCCGTAATTAAACCTCACCTACGAATATTAAAGGCACGTAAGACTACGACTGAACGTAGTAAGATAAGCTTAAAACAACGACTTCGCTCAAAGGCAAAATACGCTGTACTAAGAACTTCTGAGCACTTCTCCGGAAGTGCCTGAACTTCCCGTTAAATACTGGTTCTGTTCATTTATATAAAACGCGATACTGAAAAAGCATTCTGATGGGGAGTTGTAAATGGGAAACAAGAGTTTAAAGGAAAGGATATGAAAATTAAAAATAACTATTAGAAAATTAAAATAATTCCCTACAAACTTAATAATGAAATTGTTATATTTGATGAAACTGATTAATTACATATGCTTATTGCTACAAATAAAATATTAAGTAAATAAAAGTATTCCTACTATGATAAATGAAAACAAATAATATTCTAAGCAAAACTTCTGAAAGAAGAAGTGATGGTGGGCTCATGTGCAGCCGAAGGCATATTTCACAAGTGCACATCTGTGTAGCCACCGAGGGAGTGGCTTCTAGGATGGACCAATGAGCATCCAGTAATATTTCTGTCATGTCACATGATCTTTTGCATGCTTTAATATTTAAGAAAGATGGTTGAAAATATTCTGCCACGCAAATTTCTGTACAAAATAATTAAAGCATCGTCGATTGCTTCTGAAACTTTTCATTGCGAAGTAAAATCAAATTTAGGAAATTATGAAGATTTCACTACCTGGTTGAAATAAATACAAACACATGTTGGATACTTTGCAAAAATATCGCTGTAAAATATTACTTAATAAGTAGTAAATAACAAAGAAATATGCGATAAACATCTGAGCTAAAATGCAATCTTTACATAAAACTATGCGTATGAGAAAAATTTTACACCAATTATATATGTAAATAGAAGTCGGCACTTTTTATTGCAGTCTATATGAGAAAGATGTTCTATAATAATAACCAATGCAGAATTTCATTCAAAGTGAACTTAACTAATTTGCATTCGTATACATTTAGTGTGTTAAATTTCACATTCATTAATTGCTCACTCTTAAATGTACTGCCTACACAAGAAATACTCGTTAAACAGAGTGAATTTATCCTATTCATAACGAGTATATTCAATTTATTCACATATAATTTTTAATGTTAACAATGGATATAATCAGATCATATATACTCTGAATCTTACACTTTAAAAATCAAAAGAATGCAAGCACTGAAATAAGAAAACAATAGATTCATTGTAACACTTTCAGTCATTCTCAGCGCAATTAAAAAATATATACACTTGAGTTCTCGTAATCCACATTGTATGCCGAGAACATCAATCCTAATATTAATGCGTGATAAAAATCGGGAAAGTGAAATGTCAGCGATTAATCAAACTCAGAAAACGAAAGCACTACGAGATTTTTTATTCTTTCCCCATACATTTATAACTGCGTAACAAATGCAAATTTAAAACGTAAACAACATACGCTCACATGCACGAAGATTTAGCGTCACAAGAGCAATAGCAGCTCATTGGTCCATTTTCGAAACCCCTTCCTCAGTGGCTAAGCTGATGTGTACTTGTGAAATATGCCAGCCGCAGTTTTTTAAAAGTTAATTTCGTAGGTAAAACCGTTTTTTTTAAACTGATTTATACTTAAATCCCAGATCTAATGTCAACTATCCTCTAAATTTGAATGTCCTTTTATTTTTCTTTCATCTTTTGTCGCTGCTATAGCACCATCGAATGGATATTTTTTGGATCTAAATTACCAAAGGTTTCATTTTTGCTATCAGCTTTCTGATAGTAATAATATTCTGTTGCATTAAAAGAAATGAAATGTTACTGCATTTTTTAAAAATCATTTAGAATATTTTCGAATTTCTGCTTTTAAATATCGAAACCTGAATCATCGAGTAGGAATAAATACACTCATGTCCATAAATTAAGGATAATTCGGAGTCACGCAGAAATTGAACTCTAAAATAAATATATCACCTGTAAAATCACTACACACATCTTCAAGAATCATATGCAAATTTCAGGAAGTAACCAGATGACACCGATGGTACATCACAATAACGAGAGTATAAGAGAGCGATATATAAGGAATACAGGCAAAGAAGTAAAATTGTTCGCAGGCGCTTTATAAGCATTTCAGTGCAATACCGAATAGTTATGACTCAAAGGACGCATTTAGATGATTTTTTACGTGGTAGAATTATCGGCGGTCTGGAATGTGGGCGTACCCAACTGGAAGTATCAGACAAACTTGGAATTGCCCAGAGTGTCATATACTGGCTTTGGCAACGATTCCAAGATGATGGTAATGTGAGTAGACGTTACAGCACAGGTCGCCCCAGAGTTACAACGCCGAATGAGGATCGGTATTTGGCAGTTACTGCCAAAAGAAACAAGCGGAGCACAGCCTCAGACCTGTCTCGTCAGCTCTCTTCAGCCACTGGTACGACAATTTCAAGGCAGACCGTGTACAGACGCTTAGGGCAGATTGGTCTGTATGCTCGTAGACCTGTCAGATGCATTCCACTTACTGCAACTTACTGTCGTCTGCGATTAGCCTGGAGTAGATAGCTTGCATTGTGGACACCGCAACAGTGGGCTTGTGTGATGTTTTCCGACGAGTCCAGGTTTAGCTTGCAGTCACCACGAAAACATCATTGAACGACACCGTTACGGTAGTGCAGGAGTGCTCGTTTGGGGTGGAATTATTCTGCGTTCCAGAACTGACCTTCATGTTCAAATTGGAACCATGACAAGCCAAATCTATCGGGACGTCATTTTGGAACAATATGTACGTTTGTTTCGGGGCGCCATGGGCGCACAATTTGTGTTTATGGATTACAACGCCCGTTCTCACCGTGCAAACATCGTAAGTGAATGCCTTCAATCGGAAGATATCATCCGTATGGACTGGCCAGCATTCTCACAGGACTTGAATCCAGTAGAGCACGTGTGGGATATGCTTGGCCGACGAGTTGCAGCCCGCCAACCTCCTCCTACATGTCTACCGGAACTTCGGAGAGCATTGCTTTTTGAGTGGCGTAATATCCCCAAAGATCAGATCGATAATTTGATACTCAGCATGCCTAGGCGTTGTACGGACTCCATTGCATGGTCCGGGAGACGCACAATGTATTAACAATAATACCAACCGTGTAATATTGGTTTTTTGTAAATAGGGTTTTTTTTTGTAATTTGCTCCAGGGAGAAAAAATCGCTAATTTTTTTAATAATATCAAACATATAGCATCGTTTTTCGCTCTTTACCTTTTGTTTAATAAATAAGCTTTACAAATAAGTGAAATTTGTTTTGCTTCTAACTTTTCCTTTGCCTGATTTTGCATTATCCTTAATTTATGGACATGAGTGTAAAAGATCAACTTATATGCCAAATATAGCTAGAATTATTAACCATTTAGTTAAAATTTAGAGATCGAATTATACTGCAATTGATACTCTGTATTCGACTGAAAAACGTTACTGACATTTGAAATATTATTGCAGTTATTTAAATGAGTTTCTGATGTCATACATTAATTAGAGAACTGTTTGGTTAATTGTTTCATAACATTTTTTTACATAACTTATCTTACGAATCTGTAATATATTTAAGCCTGCAGCATCATATTTTGATTAATATTTTGATCCTGTTAGAATAAATTAGTGTCACCTTTGCATAATGAAACTCCGCAACATCAAAAACAAAACGAGCGTCAAATGATATATTCAATTTATGTTTTGATGCGAGGAACATGTCCCCTTAAAAAAAAGGATCTTGTGTTAACGTTCTATTTGTGCTTCATGCTTTTCAGCATGTTACTTCTTTTATGGAATATGCTCCTGATTAACATTGGCTTATAAGTAAGCCTAAAGCTGTTTAAAACTTACAAATGAATATATTGCATATTGTAGTATTTATTTCAACACTTCGATTTAAATGTTTGTACAGATTGTTAAATTTGATTTGTATTTGATTTGTGTTCTGTTTGAGTTACGTATACTCTCTAACTTGTTAAATAACGGTTTCATAGTTATTCTAACTTATGATTCTTTACTAAAACTCTGCTAAATAAAGGATGGCGTAAAAATCTACTGCAAAGTCTTTCAATACGTCTGTAGAATCATAATAGTAAACCAGGATTTATAATTTAGGTAAGCTACAAAAGCTAAAAACATAATGTTCTAAACTTTAAAGCTAAAATGCATAATGTTCACCAAGTTTTGCCGGACATGTTGCTCAGCGTGTAACTATTTATAGAACACCGTATTTAAACTATTTAGCAGGAGATAAATGGAATTGAATTGTTACCCTCGATGAACCATGGGCTTACCTAGATGCCAGCAAAAAAGCTCTATTATAGAAAGCGAGGAGAAAAACGTTGAAACCTGGTTCCGCGAATGCAAAAATTTCAGTAAGGGGTTTATGAATGCCACATGATTCTCTTACAACGGTAAACTAATAATGAAACGAGTGGTAAAATGTTAAAATTAACTCAAAGCACTATCAAAAGAAAGTTTTACATCCGATATTTACAAAAGTTCAAATTCTTTATCCAGTAACTTTCAAAGAGTGAAACAACATCAAGACAAAACGACAAGTCATACTTCTGAAAGTACCATTGCATGCCTTGAAAAAATAAAGACCGATACAATTATTGCAAATATATCTCTTCAACGAACTCTGAAGTCTCCTGACGTCTCGCCTATTGAATATTGTGTCTTTACTTTTTTAAAAACGAGCTCTGTCTAAGCGCAAACTCACTAACAGTTGATGGGCTCTGGAAAAAATTAAAAATCGGTACCGCTAAAACTTTTACGAAAAGTCCTTCTCAATTGAAGGAATTTAATTTAATGTGGGGGGGGGGGGGGGGGGGGGGGGGGGGGGGGGGGGGGGGGTGGGGGGGGGGGGGGGGGAGGGGGGGGGGGGGGGGGGGGGGGGGGGGGGGGGGGGGGGGGGGGGGGGGGGGTGGGGGGGGGGGGATTTTGATTTTTATCCTAGAAATCATGATGCAGACGTAGGTAAAAGTATATTTTAGGGTACCCCTTGGCGAAACTTGACGATTTTTGGCGGTACATGGGTACTGAGTTTGTGCAATTCTTTGACTTGTTATTTTGACTTGCGGCGATCAAATTGGCCGCTACACAAAGCCAAAATAACAAGACAAGGAATTGCACAAACTCGGTATCCATGTACACATCGACCTATTTTCACTTAAAAAACATCTCAGAATTGCACAAAATTGGCATTGCGCACTCTCTTGACTTTATTCATGTACACATCGACCTATTTTCACTTAAAAAAACATCAGAGAATTGCATAAACTAGGCTTTGCACACTCTCTTGTCTTTGTCCATGTACACATCGAACTATATTCACTTAAAAAGTCAAAGGAGCAGCCAACAAAAAAAATATACAATCTGAATAAACTACATTTTAAATCAAACAACGAAATAACATAAAAAAGGAAATTCATCTTAGCGCTACACGAAGGAAATATCCACTTACCTCATTTACGAATTTACGCGTCTTCAGTCAAACAAAATTCTTTAACAGTATTCAAACACTTCCTAAAATTATCTGAACTAGAACATGTAGACTGGTGTCGCCACATAAATTCACAAAAATAAGAGTAAAAATTATCCGATGTTCGACCATACGCATTTCTTTCCTCCAAACATGACACTTAATAATGGCTGCTAAGTAAACCTTCATTTACACGCCAGTCAATTAATGCTTTTCTCCCTTTCATTCCAAATCCTACAGAAACTTCAAATTAATCTTACCACATTCAGCCAATTTACTGTGTAAACTGCAAAATAACAACGTACTAATCCATCATACACAAGCTCTTACCCAAAATTCGACACACACTTTCCAAATTTTTTCCAAATTTCAAATTCGCCGCAACCAATTACGTCATATTAAGGTTTCCATAGACCTCAACTACTCAGGTTGTCATAAATGAGACAACAACTTGGCGATAAATGAAACAACAATTTCGCGACAATACAAGGGGTACCTTAAAGTCAACTCTAACCCAGACGTATAGCCCAGATAAAAGGCTATCGGGCAGATTATTTAATAAAGTATTCCGTAAATTTTTTAACATTAGCTAAATAGATGACAAATCGTTGTAAAATGCATAAACATCATATGTATACAAAATCTGCAACAATCTAACATTAAATTCTTTGCCTAGGTTTAAAAGTCATTTTACTATAGATTTCGCCGTTATAGCCCTGTATATTAAAAATTCAACCCCTAAAATTTGCTTTGAAATTAAAATAATTAAATAAAAAGAAAGCATGTCAAAAGAACTACTTACAAGGATCATTCTTCACTGGTCCATACGTTTCCGCTGTAATCCTTTTCTCGTTGTTGGTGACACAGCACGAGAAGAGAGGTCCGCAAGATGAGCCCAGGGACCCACCAGACAGCCAGCAGTACAGGAAAAATTGGCACTTGCCGCCCGCAGAGCAATAGGAAAAGGAACTTTGTCTGGAGGGTGAGGAATGAGAGAAGGGATTGAACACGCTGTTCACGGATCGGCCTTCATTGCGCCCTCTCTGGCGGTAAGGATTGGAATTATGAGGTGGATGGATATAAATAGCACCTAGATTAAGAAGAAACATACACAGTTAAAAAAAAAAGACGCATATCAGGCAGCTTCGTATCTGAAGGCCAGAAGCCCAGGTAAATTATAGATTTTGCCATAATATAAAATTCTTTATAATATTTGACGTTAAATTGTTAATATCAAAATATCTTAAAAATGGTTACAAGATAATCTTGAAGTATTCCAAAATCATATAATTCAAACCTTTGCAGAAATATTTATTTTATACACAGAAGAACATCAGAGAATGAAATAATGTTTATATCTAGAGAATTCTGGAGACTAACTGAATGACTCACATTGCCAAAAAGGTAAGTGAAATATTTTGGTTTGGATTTTCTTTGCTCTTACGGAAATATTGCTGTATTCTAATTTGGAACAGACCTATATTTATTGCCGTTGTTGTTGTGACTAATCTCGCTTGTATGAAATTAGAGCAAGCTCACGAAATTCATCGTGGCAAGCAGTCACAATAGCGCCTATCGTTGGCAAGATCCTTTAGCACTACACAAATGACAGTACGACTTTGGTCAGTTCCGTCCCCAGTTTTGAAGAAGAGCACCACGGGGAGGGGTGAAGGTCTCCCTTACTACCAACTACTCGAGAAGACTTTATGCTCACCGCATATTTTGAGTGCCTCTATACCACATAGACATTTACAAACATCCATGGCTTCTCCGGAATTCGAATCCGAGGCCCTTGGTACGGTAGTCAGAGTCATTAACGATTATCCTGGTTGGACGGTAGATCTATATTTAACACTTTTAACACAGTATTCGGAATATATTACTCGCATCGTTTCTGATCAGTTACGCTTACAGATACACTGTAAATTTGGAAGTGCTGATCAGTTAAACCTGCTTGTTCATCAGAGCTTCATTATATAACAGGAAATAATGAAAAATGCCATTTCTACTGATATGTATACCTCTATTATTTCTTTCAACATAAAGTATGATTGGTGCATTCAGAATGTTTTATTATGTGACAGAAATTCCGTAGACAGCATTGATGTTGTGCATGAAGGCTATAAAGGAAACATCATATTTTCTCCAATATAGTGATTTTGTTTATATATCACGGATCTTTGTGTAGTTCCCACAAACACTCGCTGTTTGTGTTGCTTATTGGATGAAGCGCCCTCCAACGGCCAAGGTTTTCGTCGAAAGGGTTTTAACACCGCTGTAGAATAGCTTCATCCAATGACTGGGCCAGAAAGATATGAAATGCCATTTCAGTGAATGATATCATTATCTTTTGATGAATGAAATGAAACAAAGCACCTGTTATGGTTGTACAAACAGTATTTGTTACAGTATTATGCAATAAAAGTTGCTGCAATGCTAGTTCAAGTTCAATTACATGAAGCGTAAAATGCGAGCTGCGAGTTCCATTGCCTAAGGTTTAAAAATAAAATGTGGAGATAAGAAAGTACACAATTACAAGCAAACACTTTCGAAGGTAGTATATGGGCATCTTCTTCAAGAAATGGTTGTACAAAATGCATCTAACGAACATGCCTTTACAAATCTTCGGGAAGAACAGTATTTTAAAGTTTCTCTGTTTCAAATGTCTTCAGTCTTTTTCATTTAAATACTATTTAGCGACGCAGTACGAGTTTCGGAAAGTTTCGCAGCCATTACACATCACTACATTCGGACTATTTTAGTGAAGCAAATTAAGCAATGCTCATTTGTTTTTGTAAATTAAGCTTTTGGTGAAAACATTTTAACTGGCTAATTTTAATTAGTTCGTAATTATGGTACACGTGAGGTTATCTGCAAATTCCACGAGGCAGCTTGTTTAGAATATGTATGAAATCAAAAATCTTACTTCAGAAGTGTATATTGGATTTGATTCGGTAAAGTGAAGTGTGTGGTTTGGATTTTGATTGGATTGATTGATTGTAAGAAAAAATGTTCTATTTTGTGACAATAAATGAAAAATAAGATTTTAAAGTAATTTTTATGGTTCTAGAATCGAGATCATGTTGAGAACATATTATTTATTACATATTTCTAATGAATAATATTTCATCAAATTTAAAGGCTCTAAAATTTAAAGTCGGACCCACTCAGACTTGTTTTTTATGGCTTGATTTTCATTGAATTGCATCATTTAAGTATTATTATAATTGGAAGTATAAGTCTGCGAGCAGGGATGGTGAAATTAAAGACCGCATAAGGAGTTTTGCAGGCACAGTGCATCAATAAGACGCTATCAATTTTCCCAATACCTAGCTACATTTGCATTCTGAAATATTACTTAGAGATGCCGTGGGTAAAGAAAACCATCTACATAAAATATCAAACGCTAAACCATAATGAATAGAAAAACCGTAATGAATGAAAGCCATAATGAATAGAATTAGAGCCTAAAATTACACTCATGTCCAAAAATTAAAGATAATTCGGAGAACTCTAAAATAAATATATCACCTGTAAAATCACTACACACATCTTCAAGAATCCACCCCCCCCCCACCCCCCCCCCCCCCATCAGGAACCCCCCAGTAACCCCCAACCACATGACACCGACATTTAATGGTCTCAAGACAAAAGTAAGAGTGGAGCTTATAAGGTACGCACATGCAAGAGTAAAATAAAATTCGCATGCGGCGCTTTATAAATTTCAGCATTTCAGTGCATAATAACCGAATAGTTATGACACAAAGGACGCATTTGGATGATTTTTTACGTGGTAGAATTATCGACCGTCTGGAATGTGGGCGTATCCAACTGGAAGTATCAGACGAACTTGGAATTGCCCAGAGTGTCATCTCGAGGCTTTGGCAACGATTCCGAGATGATGGTAATGTGAGTAGACGTTACAGCACAGGTCGCCCCAGAGTTACAACGCCGAATGAGGACCGGTATTTGGCAGTTACTGTCATAAGAAAAAGGAGGAGCACAGCCTCAGACCTGTCTCGTCAGCTTTCTTCAGCCACTGGTACGACAATTTCAAGGCAGACTGTGTACAGACGCTTAGGGCAGATTGGTCTATATGCTCGTAGACCTGTCAGATTCGTTCCACTTACTGCAACTCACTGTCGCCTGCGATTAGCCTGGAGAGCATGCATTGTGGACACCGCAACAGTGGGCTTTTGTGATGTTTTACGACGAGTCCAGGTTTAGCTCGCAGTCTGATTCGCGCTGGACTTTCATATGGAGAGCTCCAGGTACCCGTTACCACCAAGAGAACATCATTGAACGACACCGTTACGGTGGTGCAGGAGTGCTCGTTTGGGATGGAATTATTCTGGGTTCCAGGAATGACCTGCATGTTCAAAGTGGAACCATGACTAGCCAAATCTATCGGGACGTCATTCTGGAACAACATGTACGTTTGTCTCGGGGCGCCATGGGCGCACAATTTGTGTTTATGGATGACAACGCCCGTCCTCACCGTGCAAACATCGTAAGTGAATGCCTTCATTCGGAGGATATCACCCGTATGGACTGGCCAGCATTCTCACCGGACTTGAATCCAGTAGAGCACGTGTGGGACATGCTTGGCCGACGAGTTGCGGCCCGTCAACCTCCTTCTACATGTCTACCCGAACTTCGGAGAGCATTGTGTTTGAGTGGTGTAATATCCCTCAAGATCAGATCGATAATTTGATGCATGCCTAGGCGTTGTACGGACTGTATTGCATCGTCTGGGAAACATACAATGTATTAACAATCATACCAACCATGTAATATTGGTTTTTTTGTAAATAGGTTTTTTTTGTAATTTGCTCCAGGGAGAAAAAATAGCTAATTTGTTTAATAATATCAAACATATAGCATCTTTTTTTGCTCTTTACTTTTTGTTTAATAAATAAGCTTTACAAATAAGTCAAATTTGTTTTGCTTCTATCTCTTCCTTTGCCTGATTTTGCATTATCCTTAATTAATGGACATGAGTGTAAATAGCATGACGTTCTTTCTCCGGTCAAGTAGCCTGCCTGCTGCTATGCGATAGTATATTAATTATGCAGTTATAAACACTGTCTACAAAACTTGTCTAGATACTTTAATGTACACTCATAAGGATATAATAGGCAAAGCAAGCAAACTTCTTTATTTAATACAACTATAGTTTTACTATAACTAATGTTATATTAACGTCAATGTAATTATTGCAGTAAGGAGAAGAAGTATAATATTATGTCAACTATTATGGTATTATTTTTCTTAAAGAAACCTTCATCACAGTAAGAATACATTGTAACATTAACATTACAGTGTCTGACATGAATTGAGCCTCTGTATGACGGTAACTGAGAGCGAGGAGTCTGTCTTATATATCTAGCAAAGCCTCAGAGGTACCTCACATGAATGAGTCTTGACCGCAGTTTCCAAGAGGAACATTGGAGGAACGAAGGGGAATTGATTGAGCATAAAAACAGATTTTAAAAGATCGAACACATCAGTAGTAGATGAGGATAAAATGAGCTGGGAAATAAATAAAAGAAGTAAGATGATTGGAAATTTTCACTTTTTCGGAAACTTTATTATGTGCGAGAACATCTGCCATATCCGGGTAGTTTCACGAAGAATCTGCATAAAATGTGTTCCAAATAATAAATGCAAGGGAAAATGGACGAAGTGTTAACACAAAAGAGCAAATTCAAATTGAATACAATGAATAAAAACAATAATAACCAAAGAATACAATTAACTAATAAACTAGCTCTCAGAGGGGAAACTAAGCAAGAGGAAAAATTTTGGGAGTAATTTTATAATTTTCAGAACCAACAGAAAGAAAAGTACGCAATTAAAATACGGTACGTACTTCTGAAATTTGTTAAAAGTATTAAATATTTTGACTTTTAGAGGAACAGTGTACCTCTTTTTAGTAAATTCATTACTTTTGAGTAGTGATGGGCAACTTCGGTACATTCTTGTACCCGGTACGAGAGTAACGGGTACAGACAAGTACCCGGTACAAAATAGCCGTTACTCAAGTAACCGTTACTTTGAAAAGTACCGAAAACCGATTTCAAGTAACGA